CTAAATGGGATAGTAGAATTGTCTCTGATAAAAAAAACTTATATGCTAACAACTGTCTCAATCTGTTGACAATCTTGATAAAGTGGTCATTCATCCCATCCCAAACTAGAGTTCTGAGAAATCAATTTTTTTTTGTCCCGTTACCCGAAAGTGACAAAATATATATATCTTAAAACTTAAAATAATTACTTTTCTCTAAATATCCTTTTCTATTTATAATGTTAGGCATTCAATTCAAACATTCTTCAATGTCTATGCCAATATTATTTTCCTAAGAAAGACATTAAATTTTCAAAAAGAATATTTTTAAGTAGGAGTGACAGCGAGCATAAATTAGCAGATGTCATGGATCGATTTTTGACATTTTTTACATCTTCCCCCGAACCGATCCTGAACAAAATTTTTGTTTGCCCGATTCTAAGGCCTCCATACAATAATGGCATTTTATAAAACAAGTTTTTTTAAAAAATTTTATCAATATTCCAAGATGTTTGATGCGTAAAAAAATATATAGCTGCCAATCAATCTATTGCTAACCAGGCCATTTATAAAAATCGACAATAGCCCATTGATAAATGTTTAAGAAATTGAATGAAACTGAAATAATGTAGAAATCTATATATCAGAATTTCGACTTCTAAGGGATGCAACCAGAAGACCCCGTATAGCAAATAGGCTGCCTAACAATATTAAGCTTCCACTACCTATTTTCAAGGGTTAAGGTTAGGGTAGAGTTAGTTAGGAATGTTCATTCAGAGAGAAAGGTAGAATAGGGTTTCTGTCCTTATTAGATGTGATGGGAGGTCGGGTAGCCAATGTAGGTCTCTATAATCTTCTAAGTTCTTATATAATAGTCGTTAGAAAATTAACATAAACCTATGTCCTTGAAAGATCATCATAAAGGATATTTAATTTGTTGTATATATATATATATCATTTTGATGATTTTCTTTGTCATGCTCATGACTTGGGGGCGGGAGATAAATTTAACGATTTAAATGACTATTAAAATTGAATAACATTTTTTAACAAATTATAAATGCTTTTTTTTTGTGTGTTAACAACATACTTGGTTGAAAATTGAAATCATAATCCTATCAAAAAATAATAATAATAGTTTTTTTTTTGAAAAATTGCGATTAGATTTCGCAATTAAACAAAAATATTAAATTAAAATATCATATAAATTTTGTAGTAATTAAAATAAAATCTCGACCAGCACAAATAATTGGATATGATCAATAATATTTTATGGGGGTGGTTAAATTATGCTAGTATAACTTATTTGCCTCCCATTAGTTATGCTCGAAAAAAAATTTGAGGCATCATCTAGGAATTTAACTATAATGTCATATCATTTATAAAAAATTAATTGCTATACAAGTGCAACTATGAAAGTAGATTTTGGGGGCTAGTCCCGCTCTAGTGTTGTTAAACGGCTTTTTTTGAATCGATTTAACTTAATATTTTAACCAAATATTGCCTAATCTCAATATTTAGCTAATAGATGTCAAAATTTTTATGTCATCTATAACCAATATCTTCATGCTTGAGTAATATTTGTTTTGGATTAACTATTGAGTCAGCCATTTTTAAAATTCGGCTCAAATCGAGCCATTTAACAACACTACCTCCCGCCCCATGCCACTTACAATCGGATTTCAGAAATTTTTATGCAAACGTATTTTTATATAAAAATTTTAAATCCCAAATCGAAGTATTTTTGGACCGAGGCCGGTTTGAACCCATATTGGAAAATCGGTACCCATTTTATTAAATCAAAATCCCTGCTTTCCATATGGCTTACCTAATTAGCCTATAAACAACCCGCAAAGAAAACACCTGAGGGAGTTTCATGAGACCTTTTTTTTGGCTTAAAGATTTTTGCGGTACGCCTCTGTGGCAGTCTAGCCCAACAATATTTTACACGAGTTGACCATAATATTCTAAAAACAAAATAGATATCGCACCTAAAACAAACGAGAAGACGATAAGGTAAAACATATGTTAGGTAAGCATTTTAATTATTTTTAGGAAAAACAATATTAATATACACTCGACAGTATATTAGCCTACTTACATAAAAATTATTTGAAGTTGATTATTTTATATTTATTATTTAAGTTAGGAAAAATATTGGGTAAGGGGAATAGCATATAATAGATGAGGGTAAAGTCTGATAGGTTTAGATTTTCTCCAAAAGTTCAAAGCTAAATCCTACCATTTTTAAATTTGATAACTTTAAACTTTTACATTTGCCCTAGCTTTACCTGCTAGACTAAACTGATCTTATACATTACTTTTTAATATACTTTTTTTTTCTGCAAAAATTATTATTCTTTTAATAAAATAATTAAACAATTTCTGTTAAATTCTAAGATCAATCAATTATTGCTGAATAATATTTCTTTCTTTTATTTAAACACTAAATTATATTAAAAAATTTGATTTATTTGTTAACTCTTGTAAGAAAAAAAAAATCTCTTTTTATTCACAAACTCAACAGTTAACATAGCATTAGCATTTTGAAACACAATTTATATTATTTTTAATATTATTATACTTATATACAAAATTCGCAAAAATTATAAATAGTAAAAATTTAATTAAAAAAAAGAAATATATATAAAAACAATTTTTTTTTCTGCCTATATAACTTAAATCGATATAACCTAAAATTAACTGCTAATTAATTCCGCGTTTAAAAACTTTTACCAAAGAAAGGAATGCTTACAAAAAAAATGCTATTTAAACCAAAAATTGTAGATACAATAATTATCAATTTGTATTTTTGAGAATCAATAATTGTTTGAAATATCTGCGTACTAATAATTAAAAGTTAAGATATATAATTACATACCTAAAGAACTGGTCGTTACATTTCGAATATTCAAAGGTATGAATAATTGAATAATTATTCGATTCGTAAAAATCAATCAATTTTTATTTGTTTTAGAAATGTATTTACAAAAGACATGGGGATCGCAATAATATTCATGAATATCTTCTTGAATATAGATATTTTTTCGCATTAAATATTTATTATATACTAAAATTGAATAGCGGCCAGAAATATGCTGGACAAAAATATACCCCAGACAAAATTACCCCATCTCCCCGGAATTTTTTTTACAAAATTTGCTAATTTTCATGAAAAATTAAATGATAGAAGTATCTGTTTTTTTTATAAGATTGACCATTTCGAAATTATTGGATTCAAGAAGCAAAAAAAAATCGTATTCTTATAAGTAGAATTTTAGAAATTATAAAATTAAACCATTTTACTATAAAATAAATATTTTACACCCCTCCCTCCCCTCCCATCCCCACCAAAAAAAATTGCAAAAGTTTTGTAAATATATTGCTTAAACTTGAGATTTGCTAAGCCTAACCCCTCCGATCGCCAGATTTTTAAGTTATAACGAGCCTAGCCCAGAGACAATTTAAATACATAAAAAATTACCGGACCGGGTGGACAATCTATATATATAAGAATCTACTATTTTTTAGGGAAAATTTCAATAGGCTAAAATTTTGATATATTTTTGTAATTTTCAAAAGCTAACATTTTTGATTATGTTGGTTAAAAATATGGACAAATTAATTATTTCTTTGTATTATTTAAAGAGCTGTCTAACCAAAATTAATGAAAATCTATATTAAATTAATATAATAAAATTCACATAAAATATAATTAAACCAAGTTCTTTATAAGACATGGTTCCAATTACAAATACCTCAAGTATACAGATATCAAACACAAATTGATTTATAAAAAAGGCCGCTATTAGAAATAGATAACCATACCCGGCCTATTTTTTTTTATAAATAATTTCGGTTCGGGCTGAGTCGGGCCGAATATTTAAAAAAATTTGAGCCTGCGCGGAAAGACAAATAATTTTTATCTCGGGTCAAACTTTTCGGGATAAACAAATAAGATATTCTTTCGGGATCGGGCCGGAATTAAAAAAATTAGACTCTTAGCAGATCACTAATAAGAACCTTAATCGATATAAAGGGGAAAAAAAAATTAGATACAGATATTAATGGGTTGAAAGTTTTTAAAAAAATTATAACGCGGGGGCGGGAAAAAAAATTTAACGGGCCGGGTCTAGATTTACTGATCTAATAAGATAAATAAATAAATGTGATCGCGCGTATAAATTGTATTATATAAAAAAACTTAATTTTTTGACACTTTTTAAATGATTCAACTAGTGTTGTTAAACGGCTCATTTTGAGCCGATTTTTTAAAAAGGCTGACTCGCCGAAGCCTCCGAGATTTCGATAATATATGTCTAGATCTTTGTTTCTTCTATGAGCAAAATCTTCAGGCTTGCGTACTGGATGAAATATTGAGTTAGCCGTTTTTAAAAATCACTAGATTCAATAAATTAGTTAAATAAATCCTAAAAAGTATTTGCTAAACCCTTTAAATGGCTCGATTTAGCTAGAGATTCGTTAGTAGATGTTCAAACCTTTCTGCCAACTATGAGGCAAAATCTCCAGGGATTATGTTTTTAGGCTAAAATATCGTATTGGTCTTTTTTTTAAAAAAATATCGAGCCCTTAAAGTATGGCTTTAATTTTTGGATAGTGTTGTTAATCAAAAACGAGCTAACTCACCTAATCCCTCAAGATTTCGGCTAATATATGTCGAGACCTTTCTCCCTTCGATCAGGCCTGCGTAATATATTTTTTTGGGGATAAAATAATAAGTTAGCCGGTTTTTTTTAAAAAAAATCGCTCAATACGAGTCGTTTTAACAAAATTAGTGTTGTTAGCACATTTCCTGTCCAATTTACATTTTTTCAAATTTAAAAAAAAAATGGCACCCAGTAAAAAGATTTTTTAGATGGTATACAAATATTAAATTCACATTTTCATTAGTAAAAAAAAAAAGACTTAAAATGGAACAAATCTGAGCCACGGTTTTTAAAATATTTTTTCAAAAATATAAATATCAAACAAAGAAAAGTAACAAATTTTTTTTTTTTTACCCGTTAACAAGTAAGACATGGAAAGTGATGTTATAAAGAAGTTGGTAGTATTTCTCAGCTTTTTATTTCCCAAGATCGTCCATATAGCCGCCAAATTTGCTAGAGTTATAACCATCCCAGCGATCAGATATAAGCCTACCACTAACATATCATTTGTGGTCATCATTGTCCACTTTAAATATTTTTTTTTTCACTTTTTAAAAAGCCACGAATTTAATATAATAAAAAAGTTTAAATTTGATTTAATTTTTTTTTTTGTTAATTAATTTTCTAAAAAAACTATAATTTTTGAATTTTTTTAAAAATATTATTTTTAATATTTATATTTTATATAATATTTTTTTATATATATGTTAAATTATTAAATAAATAATAACATAACCGACGATATAAATTTACATGTGTTTTTTTTCTTGTTATAATTAACTTTTAGCAATTATCATTATAATAATAAAATATTTTATAAGTTTTAAAAAAATTATTAAAATTTTTTTTTCTAGATGAAAATTATAAATTTTGACAAAATCAATTTTATTTATTATTTTATAATTTTGTAAATTTATAAAATATGCTGTAAGGAAAATTTTCGGGAAAGGAAATTAGTTAAAAATATTGTTTTGCAATTATTAAGTTCAAACAAAAAAATTTTTTTTTAAAAAAGAACATTTTATATTACTTAATATTTTTTTTTAATAGATATTTATATAAGAGTATGACAAAATTATAGGTCGCTAAAAATAATCGATATCAAAAACATAAATACTATATACTTATAAAAGTATATAAAAATATAAGTTTTATTCTTTAAATTCATCACTGTGTATTATAATATATATATCTAATATATTGCATTTCAGTGGTTAACAATTGATTCTAATTTTTTTTAACATTAAAAAATGTTTAATTTTGCCATTAGTAATATAATATAATATTATAATATTTTTGGTCATCCGCGTATTATAATATTTCAAGCGTAAAATTAGAAATTTTATAACTTTTTTTAATATGATTCCATATTTATTATAAAAATATAGCTCGTGTTGGATGCCATATAATAGCATTCTGTATCAAAAAATATGAAAATGATGATAAAATAAGGGGATAGGGGGGGGGGGGTTAAATAAATTTTTTAAAATTCGTATTATATATTTTAATGTGTTCTGTCTGATTAGTGTTGTTAATTAGTTGTTGTGTAAAACTAAGACCTAGGGTTTGGGTCCAAAAATCGACTAAACCAGCTCTGAGCACGAACCACGAGCATAGACCCGGGGTCCAGACCCGTGGTTTAGACCTGGGGTTCAGACTCATGGTTTAGACCCGGGGTTCTGATAAACCAAAACAAAAAATAAATCTCATTTACTAATCTTAAATCTTATTATACATTCTAATCATAGATTTAAGCTTTGTTTATTATTTTATTTTACATTAATCTCATTTTCTAACCATTTAAATATTGTTTAAATTGGGGTGCTTTTGATTGGAGTCAATTTGACCTAGCTATTTTTTTCTCTTCCAGACTATGTTAAATTCACATACATAATTATTATTTTATATATTTAACACTCTTCAAAACTTTTGTGGGATTTATAGGATATCTACTACAAGCAACTTTACAAAATATCAACAATTACCTCTTGAACACATTATTTTTTAAACTCTGCCATAATTATCCTCAATAAAACAATCATCATGTGATCTTTTTATATTTTTGAAGTTGTTTATTAATTATTTTTTTTACGTAAATTTTTTTTTTACGTAAATTTTTTTAAATTTAACTTTCACTATATTCTTTCTTTCTTTCTTTCTTTCTTTCTTTCTTTCTTTCTTTCTTTCTTTCTTTCCTTCCTTCCTTCCTTCCTTCCTTCCTTCCTTCCTTCCTTCCTTCCTTCCTTCCTTCCTTCCTTCCTTCCTTCCTTCCTTCCTTCCTTCCTTCCTTCCTTCCTTCCTTCCTTCCTTCCTTCCTTCCTTCCTTCCTTCCTTCCTTCCTTTCCTTCCTTCCTTCCTTCCTTCCTTCCTTCCCTTCTGTAATTTTAAAAATAAATTATTAAAAATAAAATTTCCATTTTTTTTTAGAAGTATTTTTGAAGTTAAGTAGTTTATTAATTATTATTTTTCAGTAATGTGATGATTTAATGAAACATGTTGACCATTACCCATTCAGATAAAAATATTTTGTTTACAAAAATAATTAAAATAACACATTTACATTTAAAAACTTGAAAGAAAACATTGAGAAAAACATTATTATTTTTTTAAAAAAAATTTAATTTAACTTAAATTAAAACTTCTTGTAATTATTTTTTAATTTTATGACAATTTTAATTTAAAACTTCTTCAAACCGAATATAGCCGGCTAAAATATCGGTTATACGTTTTTTAGCCGAAAACTATCACTCTGGCTATTCGTGGTTATTCGTAAAAAGATAGAGGCTCAAATTTAGAAGTAATATAAATAAAAGCGCCTTAATGTTAAAGGATTTTCTTCGGCAAGAGCCTGAAGATTGAGCCGTAGCCTCATTACCTAATTATGGCAATTATACAAACTATATAAAAAGGATAAATGGAAGATTTTATATAATTTGACTAACCCCCCCCCCCCCCCTTCCCCATATATATAGACTATTCAAAAGTATTCTAAATATTCCATTCAAGCTCAATCTTGCCGAATTTAGGAACTAATGTTATCAAATGTACTTGTCTAAGATGCATTTCTAAAATTAGAAAAAAAATCTACGTATTTAAAAAATAGATATGATATTTAACAAATCCGGCCAAAGTTCGTATCTAATTCTGAACTAGGATGGTATAGCTGGAAATAATCGCTCGGCAACCAAGATAATTACTCATTTATTCCTATTTTTTTGGTATCGATAAGCTCTATGTGGTCCCGTTTAAAAAATTTCTTCGCCCTAAGCTGAGTTTCTCAGGTCTTTACTATCAACCCACCAAAAAATGCCATTGCATTTTTCTATTTCTATACACTATAATTTTTATTTAAATTATTTGAAATAACATTATTTATCTGAACCCCGAGTCTAAACCATGGGTCTGAACTCCAGGTCTAAACCACGGGTCAGAACCCAGGTTTATGCTCCGGGTTTCTGCTCAGAGCAGGCCTGAGAACCAAATTGGGTGGTAAATTAACGACCAAGCAAATTAACAACACTATGTCGATCTGATAAATCAAATGGAAGAAGAACTTCATGATTACAATCTTAATAAGAAGCAGTAATATATTCCACGGTCTTTAACATTATGATAAATTAGGGGTATTTTTTAGTATGAATCGACAGTGATTGATTTATGTAAAAATAATCCAACGCACATTGGCGTCAATTGAATGACGTAGTGAGGGACTAGATTGGCCATTCATTAATTAAAAGTGCGCCTACATAGGAGTCAGCTATAGAGCTATTTTGTGGTTTGAACTTCGACCAATAATCTTTATCATTATATGAATGCTCATTAATTTAATTTAATTCGACGTGCAAACCACAAAAGACGCTAAAATTGACTCCAATATATGTACACTTTTAAATGCAATTAATAAATGAATCTCTAATCTAGTAGTAGTAATATATATATATGATTGATTGGAGTGGAGAACAAATCGGTAACTGGTGCAGTCACTTGGTATTTCTGCAAACATTTAATCCTACATATGTGACCTGTGAAGGAAATTTCTCTAGGTGGGAAGAGTACTAAATTTGATGAGTTTTTTTTTTTATATTAAATGGGTAAATACTAAATACCTGTCACCAAAAATTTATAGAATAAAAAAAAATTTGTAACCATTTTATATATATATAATTTATATAATTATTATTATTATAAGTTTGAATAAACCAATTTATCAATAATTTTATCAAAAATTATCATATCTTATTTAAAATTATTAGGGCAAAAAACATTGGACGAATATTGTAGAAGGATGGGTGTTATTGAGTCATCCCTTTCAAGGTTAGGGTTACCTTCTTGGTAATAAAAAGCAGAGTGGCATTGACATCATATATAATACGTTTTAAATAATTCGCCAAAAATTTGTGCTCATAAACATAAAAATTATAAACCAAACCACAAGATTCTAAATTTCAAACTTTGGAAAACTATTTTTTTTTTCTTTTGCACTACGTTATTTCAATGTGTGCAAACCTGTGTGTGAATAATGATAATTTTTAAAAAAAATAAATCTCAATATAAATTAGAGAAATCGTACTATCCGAACCCAACATATCTATAATATTTTTAGGCAGACTAGCCATATGCAAAATTGATTGCAAATATGAATGTGGACCAGCAACGAGACATAGATTTTTGGAAACCCTATACAGTTTGAAGTGGGGTGACCATTTTAATTTGTGACACTAGATTAACTATAATAATATAAATTTTAATTTTGTTCCAAATTTAATGTGGTATACAGTTATAAAATATTTTAATTTCCATTAATATTTGCCCATTCTTTAGAGAATCAATATTTAATAAATTCCTGGAATATTATACTTAATTATTTTCTCTCCGACAGAGCTCGGATCCTTTGATATTTATAATTTTTCCGCGTTCCCTGAAAAATAAATGAGTGTATAAGTAAAATTTTAAATAACTTTTGATGTTTCTTGGATCGAAATAGGACGTTGACTTAAACCGGATCACACTCAGACTTCGAAAATATACCAAGGAGATGGTCAGACAATATTTTTTTTATTAAAGTTAACTTCAGTGACATATGTGTTATATTCAGACGGACACTTATCGTTTTATAAGACAAAGCAAATTTATTTTGCATGTTTTCGGGACAAATAATTTTCTCTCATACCCTAGTCTACCACTCACCTCTTCGTTGTTACTTTGCGATTTCACTCGCAAGGCTCATGATATTTTAACACAACAAAACAAAACATTAAAATTAGACAAGATAGTATTATTGTTAAATACTTAAATAAATTGTAAAACTGATATTAAATAGTGGGTTTGAGGCGCTCCCATCTTCCTATGGTATCTCATTGGGATCTAATTCCAATGATCTTCCGCTCCCAACAAGCATGATCATATGCTGAAATGTATTTACTTCGAATTTATATTTTTTATAAAGTGTATTAAGATAAGTATTAATGTTAAGTGTAAAAACTTCAATACACACTTTTAACGTGTAATTTGGAATAATATTAAGAAAATGCAATTTTTCTTTTTAATTTTGGAAAAAAAAATGAAAAATTTTTTGCCATTTTTTGAATAATTATTGATAAAAACTTAATGCTAAATTCGAGAATTAATTAAAAAAAA